AGAGAGCTTGGCAGTGCCCAGCCCTGCCCAGGAGCCTCGGGGGGTTCGCAGGCTGCAGCCAGCGATTCCTGACGTTTCGCTCCGCTCTGCAGGTCAACATCTTCCAGACGGAGGGTCCGACCACCCACCCCACCAGCCAGCCCTGGCCAGGACCCCAGCCCGAGATCCTGGCCCCCAGCCTGCCCAGGCAGACCTGGGCCAGCAAGTACAAGTTCCTGCTGTCCTGCCTGGGCCACTGCGTGGGGCTGGGCAACATCTGGCGCTTCCCCTACCTGTGCTACCGCAACGGAGGAGGTGGGTCCCTGCGGCGGGCACGTGTCCCTTCCCCGAGCACCCGGGCACTGCACACTTCTCGTGGATGGAGGTCGGGAGCAGGGGGGGCTGGGCAGGGACAGCGTGACGACGCATGAAGGCTGTGCCCACCCCAAACATGGGTGCTGGTGGGATTCAGGGTCTTGTGTTGCCCACCTGGGCTCCCCCACTCTAATGCCACCACGAGGACCACAGGGGAGGATGCTTTAAGAGTTCACATCATCTCCCCGTGCGTCTTCGGGGGGACTTGTGCTCCTGCTGGGGCTGCCCTGTGCAGCCCCACAATGTGCCCGCCTCTGGGATGCGCCCGGGGCAGCCTGCACCACCGTCCTGGGTGCTTTGGGCCACGGAGAGCTGCTGCCAGGCAGAGCCCCTCTGCAGAACATCTCTCCCTGCCCGGAAAAGCGGGGCTTGGCCAGAAAGGCAGTGACCCCCCCCTGCAGCGGTGGGGACCGTCTGGTGCCACACAGCTGCAGGCTGCTGTGCCCCGCGCGCACCCGCTGTCCCATCGAGTTCAGCCAGGCAGGAGAGCCTGGAAGGCGGCCAAGCGGGGCAATAACCCGCCACGTTTCTGGGGCAGGACAAAGTGCAGGTGGCTCAGCACGGAGCTGGTGCCCGGTGGCAACACCCCAGGATGCAGCACTGTGTCCTCGGGCACCTGTGGGACGGGAGAATCCCCCCCAAAAGGTCATTCCCGAGCCCTTCGCTGCGTCTGCTGCCCCGATGTTGTCTCCTGCAGGGCCCACCTCGCCCCATCCAGCCCTCGCCAGCTTCGTGGTGCCTCTGACCCACGTGACTCTGCCCTCTGGCATCTCCCCTTACGCTGGGCATCGCAGGCATCTGCCCCGTGCTGCTGCCGCTCGGGCTCCCCGATGCTCTCGCAGCATTTTATCGCGCTGGTTTTCCCTGTTCGCTCCGAAATCTTCTCCCCGGGGATGCGCCTTGAGTCACCGTAACCGAAGCCATTTGCTAAGAGGCCAACCGATGTGCTCGGGGCACGGCCCGACACGGGCATGTTTGCACGCAGGCAGCAGCAGCC